ACTTAATGGCTTCATCAAAAGTAGTAGGTTCAAAATCAGGATTAGAATGCTTAATTTTGAAAATCCACTTAAAATCAACTATCTTTTGATTTTTAGATCTATTGACCGAAATCTACGTTTTATTTTTAACGTGAGAGTCCATTTCTTCATTCATGGCTTCTTTCCAGAGTTTAGAGTCGGGATACTTAATGGCTTCATCAAAAGTAGTAGGTTCAAAATCAAAGAGTTCAGAGTAGAAAATAAGTGACCAATTTTTCACTATTGAATCTGGTGGAGAGTGTTATAGTCCTTTTTTGTGTCTCTAGTTAACTAAAAATTAGCAAGAGTATGATCTGCTGATTCATTTTCATTTTCAGATTCATTTGGTTCATGATTAGTTTTAGATTGGGTAGTCTCCGCCTCAATTAAGTCATCTTGATTAACAGCAATTTCAGTTTGAGTTTTCAGGATGGTTTCCTTAACAGGTACAAATTCAGAGGCATTATAGTCTATTGATTCATTACAAGAAGGCCATTTTTAGTAAAGATGACAACTCTACTGACTATTACTTTAAAACCATTTTGACTTCTAACCCACAGTATCTACCCTTTAGTTTTTTCTCCGTAGACTAGAAAAATACATTTTAAGGACCTATGTTCAAGTTTACCTTCACTTTGATATGAATAAGCAGTGCAACGAAAAACTTTGAATTTATTAGAATCAGGTGTCTTTCCAGACCAGTCTTTCAGGAACTTGAAAATCAATAACACTAGATGAACTTCTATTTATAAGGCCAGTGACAATTTTTAGAGCTTTACCCCCGAAAAAGTTTGAAGGACCAAAACTGTAAAACATACATATGACCTTTTCCAATAGGGTCATGTTCATTCTCTCAGCAGCAACATTTTGCTGTGTAGTGTATGTTGTAGTTCTATGTATGAGAATTCTAGATTCTTTACAAACCTAGTTAAATTCAAAATTGCAATACTCAAGTCCATTGTCAGTCCTTAGTGTTTTGATTTTCTTGTTTGTTTGATTTTTAATCATTGATTTCCATTGTTTGAAAGTTTGAAAAGTATCAGACTTTTATTCTAAGAGGAAAGTTCATATTTTTCTTGAAAAATCATCTACTATAAGTAAATAGAACCTAAATCCACTTAGAATACTTATAGATGCTGGACCCCATAGGTCAGCATGTAAATAATTGAAAATGGAGGTGTATTTATGGGTTCCAGTTTTAAAAGATAGTTTTTTTCTGTTTTCCAATTATGCAATTTTCGCAAAATTTCAACCCTTCAATGTTATCATTTCTAAAACATCCAAGTTTGTTTAAAATGATTAGTCCATTTTCTAAAATGTGGCCAAGTCTTTTATGTCAAATTAAAGACTTATAGAATCAGAGTTTTAAGGCATTAGAACAATGGCTTCCTATAGGTTCAGCAAAAACTGTATAAATACCATTTATCTTAGGAGATGAGATCACACTTCTGTTTCCTTGTTGTATTCTTAGAATACCTTAATGAATCATGATATTGTATTTACTAATTTCCTTCTCCCAAGGAAATTAGATTTCTTTTAAGCTCAGGTAAATAACTGGTATTGTCAAGTTCAAGAGTATTGTTGATACTGACATCAGTTTGACCTTGCCAATTCCCTTTATTTGACAACTCATATCATTTCCATTTGAATTTATCCTCCATTGAGATCAAGAAATTCCGAAAGGCATTTGTTTATAGGACACATGCGAAAGGTACAACCAAAGTCAAGGACCCATTCCTTGAACGTCAGGTTGATTCTTGTAGGCCACAATTGCAGATTCAACAAAATTGTTCCTATCTCTCATATCAGAGATTTTTTCGAAGCAATTTTTATTATATGTCCTATTTTTTCACAGTAATAACGTTTTCTGATCTGGTTCTTAGATTTCACATGATTCTTGTTCTTTTCCTTGCATCTGAATTTTTGAGGTTTCCATTTCTTGTGAGAATTGAAATTTTACAAGTTTTGTTTCATATTATGATTTACTCTCTCTTTTATGTCCAACCCTTCACCAAAATTAGAGAGTCCTTTGACTCAACTTTTAATTTAAGTTCTTTGTTCATCAAGGCTGAGGTTATTTTATCAATGGTAAGATTTTATTCCCCATATTCTAAGGCATTTCTGATGTCTCTGTATTTATCACTTAGTGAATTCAATAAGGCAACAACTAGTTGATCATTAGAAAGCTTCTTGTTGCCATTTGCTAAGTCTTGAATGAGTTTTATGAATCTGTCATGATCTTCTTCCAAGTTAAATGAGGGATCAAACCTAAAGTTGTAGAATTGCCTCAAGAGATAGCATTTATTTGAAATGGTTTTTAGTTAGATAAAGTATTTCTAGCTAAGTCCACAATGCCTCAGAAGAGGCAGTTTGACCTGCTTTCGTAATAACATTATCAGACAAGTGTAGGAAAATCGAGCTTCATGCAGTATCATCTAATTCTTGTCTCTTATAGGAACAAATTTCTACAGCCCTATTTCCATCAAGGGCAGCAACACATTTTTGGCGCCAGAGACTAAAATCTCTAGTACCGTTCCATGTCTCAATTTTAAATTTATGTGTAGTAGACATGATGACAGATATAGGCACAAAATTGAAATTATACAGCACACCTAATATAATGATTCAGGCAGTTTATTGAATTGATGGGAAATATGAAATAGCTTAATGAAGCAAGAAATAGCAACTATGCCTGCTTATCATGCAATTCACAGGATCAATGATGTTGCAATTCAAGAAGTATATTATTGGTTTGAAAAGGTTTAAGGAGTGTCGACCCTTGGTTCCACTACTCCCTTAAATTCCCAGATCCTCACTAGAGATCTTGGACAAAAGAAAGCAATGGAGGATCACTTACCTTAATAACTAGCACCAAAGTCTGAAATCTTAATGTTTCAGAATGAGGGAAGCAATAAGAGAATGCTAGAATCAGATCAAGAATCCCAATGCAAGAGCAAGAAATCAACGAGTAACTAAGACTTAGTAAGAACTCACAAAGATTGATTATAAATTTACAAGAGAAAAACCCTTACTATCACTCAGAGAAAGTGAGAGAGACGAAGAGACTGAAAATCATACCATCTAGAATGAAAAGAGCCAAGACCAAGTTAAATATCCGTTCAAGTCAATGGTCATCATCCAAGGGTTAGAATATAGCCACGTGGATGACAGATCCTCATCCTTTAAAAAGAGGCAAAGGCGTGTAACTCACAGACACGTTTTTACAAGGAAACAGCAACCCGAAAGTAAGAATAGCCCAAATGCACATTTGGCCCAACAAGCCAAGTAAAATAGTGAGGCAACCCAAAAAAACATTAACAGAAGTTTTTTGCGCTGTTTGATCTTTGCTATTTGCATGAATTGAATACCTGATTTTCGTGGAAAAAATGTTCAATGCAGAAGTTGCCATTTTTCTATTTCTTTGAGTATATTTTTATTGCTTACTGTATTTATTTTCGTAAAAATCTCATTGATCTAAATATCCTCATTTTCTAGATCCATCAATCTTATCTATATCTGTCACTTGTAATAACTCGAAAACGTCAACTGGTAAGAAAGAAAGAAAGTAATGCAATAATTGTGAAACTATATTAATTTACTATATTCAAGTTTTATATCAAATCATAAATCTTGAACAAAAACTCATACACTATCCATACATTAAAAATTCAAAAGTTCTAGAATATCTTTCATCATGTGAATGGAACCCTTAATTTATGCCTTGAATCATCATTATGTTTCAAAGGTCAAACTCAATTCAAGAACATAAAAACAATTAGACACGTCAGCTATAATTGTAAAATAGTCTTTAAAATTCTTATCCAGACAACACCTGTCTACTTTTTATGTCATAACCATTCTTTTAACAAAGGCAAATCTCTAAATAAATTAGTCACTATACAATCATAAAAATTCTTCCGTACATTAACCAATGAACATGGTCTTATGCATCACCAAAACCAACCTAATAATTGATCTTAATCATTTATTTAATATTTAAACCCAGACAGAACAATACAGGATATTTATATTTATATAAATGCGAACACTTGTTTACACTAGACTTCTTTAAAAAATTTTTTTTATTTATTTATCATTATTTAATGAGCTGTCAACCAAGTCTTCTTAAATCCTATAGAAAATGTCTGTGTTTTCTTACACGTCTTATTCATGAAGACTCACATTTTACAATGCTAAATTAAACACTTTCTTAATGGAATAAAATAAGACTAAGACTCTAAAGAAAAGTAACGAAGGTGGGGTTGGAATAGTGACAAGTATGTCATTATGAGAATGAAATAAGGTGATGGACCATACTCCATGATTATTATGGGCTAGTAAATATGTGCAAAAGCCATATCTAGGAAAGTGCAAACTAGTTATTTGTACAAGGTTCTATGATCGCTCAAGACGACATATCCCATTTTATTACTCTGCGGCTTCTGGATCAATTATTGGTACACTGTCTAGTCAATATTCGCTCTCCAATTGATTATCCACAAAATATATAAGATTATTCTACTTATACATTCGAGTGTACACCTTGTGTGGCATAATATACAAGTGGCAAGTCATTTGGCTAGTGAAAATTATTCCCCCCCCCCCCACTTAATTATAGAATGTCCTTTGTGTATTATTTCACTCAGGATATACACCTGAGTGTTCATGTAACAAAGCCCAAATATTTTCATATGATCAAGCTACATCAACTGTCAATTTACTCTACTTCAATTATTAAACAAGAAATGAGATAGCGCTAATATATATAGGCTTGTGTTGTTACATATTCAGTCTCAAGCTCGAGTATATGATATCGAATACTCTAAGTTGATAGTCAGTGCAAAACAATAAACCATTTGATTATAAGAATTTAAAATACAAATGAGGTGTTAAGTAGCCCAAGAGATTCCATTTCAGCAAGTCCATTGTCTATATATGTAAGGGTATGGATTTGGAGGTCACACACAACTTTAGAAACCTAAAGAACTAAAATTTCTCAAAGAGAAATTGAAAAGTTCTCTACAATGTCATCCATAATAGAAGCTGAGAACCTACCAAGTCAGCCAGCAGAGACACCACTAGTGATTGTGCGAGAGTATGATGAAGAAAGAGATACTGTGTTGGTGGCGGAGTTGGAGCGGCGGTGTGAGATGGGTCAGCGTGGGAAACTGACACTCGTCACCGACCACATGGGTGACCCAATTTGCCGTCTTCGAAATTTTTCAACACATGTTATGCTGGTAAAAACTTCAGTTTCACCCTAAACTAGAATTGTAAAGTTTTCATGTCACTCGACCCATTTTGAGACTACTTTATGTATATGTTGTTTGCTACACAACTCAATAGAATTGAGCACACGATCATTCAAGCCTCCTTTTGGAAAATTTATAAATTACTTTTACAAAGAAAAACAATAGTATTTCATGCAGTAGTACATCCATGAAATGTGCGGTTAATATTGAGTAGTAGTTATGAATTTATTGATTTTTATTTAACTTTTGAATGAACTGACAAACTAATCTATAAATGGTATCCAAACAGATACCAAGTCAATCAAATATCTAATCTATCATGTTAAATATGTCTTCGGTATAGTTTATTTATGGTGCGCATTATTCAAATATAAGGTACTAAATACATAAAAATGTATTTAACTTTTACATCTTCGGTAATGAGACTGTAAATGATCGACAGGTAGCAGAGTACGGAAATAGAAAGGAAATTGTGGGGACTATTAGGGGGTGTATAAAAACTGTGACAATTGGACAGAAAAGCTCAAGTGGATCTCCAATCTATGTGAAGCTGGCTTATATTCTGGGACTCAGAGTTTCGTCTAAGCACAGGTTTCTCTCTCTTTCTTTATATGTACAACGTACACGCGCTGGAGAAAGGGTTCTCCCTCCGGGGGACCTTGTTTTGTCAACAACGGTAGATATAGAATGAAGTTCTTCAGATGAGCCTACTGGAGGACGTTTCTTGTATGATTAATCACGCTCTCAGGGAAGCTCCCCTTGAATTAGTCGTCTCTTTGCATCACACGTTCATAACATATGCACATCACTTGTTCATAACATATGCAGTTTTCAACTAGTACTTGACAAGTTATATAAATAAAGATTGACCATTGAAATAAGATACAGGATTTCTATTATTATTTACTATGATAACTACAAAATATTTGAGAAAAAATGACATTTTATTCAACTCATAGCATCTTTAACCACATGATCAAACATAAAAATCCATTCAAACTATAGAAGTGACGGTTAAAAACCATTATGAACGATTTTTACAAGGATTAACAGCCAAGACGCTGTAGTAATTGTTTGTATCAAATCTTATTTAATATTATTTTAGAATTAATTCTATTATTGGAACATATTATGTACAATATTAAATAAAGACGTGAAAATCTAATAATCTATCTCTGTTGCCTAGTGGAAGATTAAAGAATCCATATTTTATATAAAATGAAAAATGAGTATATGGATTATTTTAATGTAATTATTGTATTAGATTATCATTCAATTAATTAATCAATATTTACATGCAGGAGGCTTGGAATTGGTACAAAACTTGTTCAACAACTAGAAGAATGGTGTAGACAAAATGGAGCTGACTATGCATACATGGCTACAGATGGTGGCAATCAGCCTTCCCTAAATTTGTTCACCCTAAAGTGCAATTATGTCAAATTCAGAAACCCTAAAGTTTTGGTGCAGCCTGTTCATCTTCACTACAAGCCATTAGGCTCGGGTATCACGATAATTAGTGTTTCTCCACAGCTTTCTGAATCAATATATCGTCGAATATTTTCTCACTCAGAGTTCTTCCCTGAGGACATCGATTGTCTTTTGTGTAACAAACTCAATTTAGGCACTTTCATGGCCTTAACAAAGAATTCCCTCAGAAATTGGACCCCTAGAACTGGAGATTTACCCCCGAGTTTTGCCATTCTTAGCATATGGAACACCAAGGAAGTTTACAAGTTACAACTGAAGGGTGTTTCAGGACTAACGTATGCAGCTTGTTTAGGAAGTAGGGTTATTGATGCCTTGATGCCATGGCTAAAATTCCCATCACTACCAAATATTTTGGGGAATTTCGGGTTTTATTTTCTTTATGGACTTCACATGGAAGGAAAGGATGGGTCTAATCTCATGAAATCTCTTTGTGCATTTGCTCATGATATAGCTAGAGATGATAAAGATTGTAGGGTTTTGGTGGCTGAGGTAGGGCAAATGGACCCTGTTGGAGAGGCAATTCCACACTGGAGAAAATTTTCATGGGATCAAGATATATGGTGCATTAAGAACCTTAGAGCAGCACAAGGAGAAGACAATAGAAATTCTCAAGAATATTGGATCAAATCTCAGATATCTTCTTCAGTTATTTTTGTTGATCCACGTGATAATTGAATATCTTCTGAGTTTACGTACATTCATTTGACAACAAAATATGTTCCGGGCTATGTCTATTCATTGTCAATGACGTGATAAATAAAAAATAATTTACAAAAGAAATATCTCTAGTTATTTTTATCTCTTTTTTTGAATTTCTAAATAATAACCGTTTCATAAATCTTTTGGATTTTGGAACTAATATTACATTGACAATTTATCTTAAATTCTTCATGATTGTGATCAACCTTATTCCAATAAATTAAGGAGCTATATGAATGAAATGGAACAAGCCCCTACACAATATACTTTCTGCTGTATGGATTCAATATTAGTTTAAGTTGGTAAAAATTCCTGTCAAGCTCCCTCTTTAAGTCGAGTTAAAAATAATAATAATAATAATAATAATAATAATAATAATAATAATAATAATAATAATAATAATACAATTAATGAAATCGGACAAAAATATAACAAGGAATTAATCCTTCACCATGCGTCCTAAGACCATGTGTTCCTTAATTTTTGTCAATTTGCATTATATTTTACTTGCACTGTGACAAGAACTGAACGCTCATTTGACGATAAAATGGAGTGCCATTTGTATACCTTGTTTTTTCATTACAAAAAAAAAATAATAATAATAATAATAATAATAAATAAATAAATAGGAAAAAGACTTCTTCATGTTTGACATAGACTCGTACTACTGAATTAAATTTGAAAAATAAAGTATAAAATTTAGGAGAAGGTTGGAACCTTACCTCCTAAATATAAATGACGAGAAAATATAATTTTCTGCTTTAATTCTTTACTGTGATAGAAGGTTGGCAAAAATGAGTAGATGCTTAGGTTCGATTAACTCTTCATTTAAAAGAGTTTGGAGACATCATGAATCAATTGATTCTATGATTTATTACTACTATTTTAAGTGTTCTATTTAATTTTTCATAAAATCAATAAAAGAAAAATTGCACCTCGATACTATTGTGACTACAATAAAAACATTATCATGTATTTGAGGCCGTATACTTGTCATTAATATATAATATAGCATCAACCTTCACAAAAAGTTTCTTTGTGTGGCTATTTACACGCGATTATCAAATTCATCAGACTGGAACCTCCATGCTTTCAGCTAAGAGAACAAACTTAACTTTACTAGTTTAATTAGTACAGATTAATTATTCTACTAATTAATCTATAAACAAATGATTATTTATTTATTGTGAATCAATGATCGTGTTAACTTTGAGCTTTAACACCTGTCATCACAGTCTAATGTCGATTATTGTCTAGCATATTATGATTGTGAAATGTGGATTACCTAAAAGTATAGGAATAAACAATGAAAACTGTTATTTTTT